CACAAGGCAGCGGGCTTTGGCGTTGTGCTACAAGGAGTCTGTTTTAAGTAATAAGGAGCCACCCTCATTCTAACCCCCAACCTGGAGAACCAGGAGGCTGAGTTTGTTTGGCCTCTAACCATTGACCAGTCTGGTATGAGTGGCTCTGGAGGTGCATAAACACCATCCAGCATATCTCAATGGATCACTGAAGAACACAAACCAACGCACCACAGTAAGGTCCATCCTCATTGCGGTGAAGAATATACATTTATTCATTTCCCTACTTATATTTGGATGAAATGTGTCCCATATCGGTTCGTTCACAAAGTTGTCTTTCAGTTCAGTCAGGCTTTTGTGTTTCGTTTTATTAACTCTGCGCTTCAAGTATTCACATAGGCAAAAAATCCATGGAATTCACATCCGGTGATCGCGCAAGCATTCTATCGGCCTTCCGCGACCGATGCAACATCCACCAAATGTCTTGTTCAGGTAGACACGAACCGATTGCGCCGAATGTGCAGGTGCGCCATCGTGCTGCCACCAAACGTTGTTCATTAACCTTTTCGACTGTAGCTGCGGAATTACGCTGCTCTGCAACATTTCCATGCACGATGATGCTAATAAATGTCAGACATTTGTACTGTTAAACCATAAACTACTGGACACACTGCTGGAAAAGAAAAAGGACCCAATGATTTTTCGACCAGTCAACCCAGCCTAGGCCATGAGCTTCGCGCTATGTTTCACACCTGAAGCGCTACGTTGCCATGGATTGGTCGTTGCCCAAACATGTTTCTTGTCTTCGCCATGCATATGGAACACTGTCTCATCGATGAACAAAACGGAATGCATGTCCAGACTGTTCACAAACAAACGGACGGATTCTAGGCGCTTTTGTAAATCGCATGCGTCCAAAACTTGCACCTCCAGTGCACTGTACCCCGCGGGAATTTTTTCCATCGATATCCGATGCCCAACCTACGATGTGGTTTCGCGATGTTGTGGGAGTTGCCGAATGTTGAGATGCCTGTTACTGGGTACGTCTTGCGCAACCGCGCAAGCTGCTACTTCATCGCTACACTACACTACGCTGCACACTAATGCACCTCGACTAGTGGGGAAACGTTTGCGAAGTGATTGCGAAGCTCAAAAAATAGCTTTTATAACAATAGACATAGACCCATCGCAAACCGTGGAATTACTGTACATACTAAAAACGAATTACAAAGTAGGAAATAGAGCAAGGAACGTTTTTTGTAAATTTTACACCCCGTTTTGTCTTTTTATCGGTCTAGTGATTACAGCTTTGATAAGTGGCATCATTGCATAAATTCCTGTAGCTATTCCATTGTCCCCGATCCGGCGTCGTCATCAAGGGTCCCCAACCAGCGTTTTTCTTCATCTCTGACTCCCCATCCCGGAAGACTTATGGAACGGACAATAGCTAAACTGGACGTCATTGCTCTGACGTTTTGCCGCCGTGTAGTAGATTGATCACCGCTCAGTTCCTTCCAGTGTGGTCCAGCGCGAGAAAGTAGCGCGCGCCTTGGAAAACGCTCGCACTGCATGTATAGAATGTGACCTAACCACCTCAGTTGGCGCAGCGATAGTAACTTGTCAAGAGAGAGGTCCATATTACCTAAGACGTGACATCTAATCTCCTCGTTGCAAACGTCGTTTTCCTATCACACACACCAGCTATCCTGCGCAGACAGTCGTTGTCAAAGGCCGAAATCCCACGCAAGTCATTTACACGGATCGGCCAGGACTCACTTCCTTACAACAGAACTGTGCGAACGTAGACATTGCAAACTCTGCCCTTTACCGAGGGTGCAACGTCACGGCGAGGCTCCAGATGGTTTAGGTTAGCGAAAGCTGATCGGGATTTGACAATACGGAGAGAAATCTCTCTTCCAGTGGTGCCATCAGCAAAAACGTAGATGCAAAGTTAGATGAAACTATCCACTTGTTCAAGCTGCGCGCCTTCAAGAATCAGCACTGGGGCAGGTGGATGCCAATCCTAAAGTACGATTGCATTTCGATGATACAATGGTCATGCATACTTGTTTGCTTTAATCGCCAAGCAGTTTAGAATGACCTGCATAATCTGTGGGTTGTCACCAAGCAGGGCAATCTCATCACCGTGCTCCTAGTCAGTCGCGCGGTTGCCTGTGATAAGCTCTATGCCAAATTTCTGTAGATCTTTCAGACATCCCCAATCGCAAAATTGAAGAGAAACGATAACATGGGGCATCCCTTTTGCACACCGCTAGTGACAACGCAAGATGAAGGGAACTTACCGTAATCCGTCACTGCCAGGGACATAGCTGTAAAGTGCTCAAAGCATGGCGGAACGGAAACGGTGCCTTCGCAGTTTGGCTCGTATGTGGTGGGAACGCCATGTGAGCACTGAGCGTGTTCGACGCCTAGTTTATGGCACAGGAAGAGGAAATGAACCGCTCAACACCGTTATAACACCCGCCAGGCTCCGATGTCTGAGCCACGTGTTACGCATACTAGAACACCGACTCCCGCGACGTGCGGTGTTTGCGCCCCGGGGGTGTGAATGGAACAGGAGGGGTGGCCAATCGATTGCTTAGTCAAGTAGAATAAAGGCGCTCACTTCGAAGTTGGCCTCGTTTGGAGCCTCTCGGTTCCCTGTTAGCCGATGTACACATTTGGCTGGATATACTTGTTGACATAGCAAGAAGCCTACCTCAGTGGCTTATGTGTTGTGAGTTTCTTTGTTCCTGGCCCTCCCGCTTAGTCTCGCCTTCCAACCACGATCTCGTTGCTAAAGGATTATATAACTTTTTCGCTGCAAAACAGCTGGCTGCTAGCTCTCTGGAATCATGTCCATCCTTGGTTGGTGGCTCAGCTGGCGCGTCTGTGTGGCGTTTTTTCTTGTGTATTGCGACACACTAGCTGAGGTGTTTTCCGCCTCCAGCTAACGTGTATAATGGTGATTATGATCATGATGAGCCTAAACCGGCCACGGAAGTCCAGTTCTCGAATCGGTGTTAGTCTGCGGAGTAGAATGGATATTATCAATGTGGAGTGGACGGATATTAAGTTGATCCGTTTGTTGTTGGCGCACAAGATATGGGCACCCTTTTTGAAGGTCGGTATGATAATCGACTCGCCCTAAGTGGGTAGGACCATTTCTTCACACCAAATCTTGAGAACAGAACTACTAACTAGTTGATTATTGCGTCGCTACCATACTAGAACAGCTTCGAAGGAAATCTATCTGAACCAGCAATTTTGAGTCGCTTCTAGTGATGAAGCTCAAGCTGGAACTCCATTTCGGTGGGTGATTCCAGTGAAACGTGCCAAGGCGCTCAACTTGACATGATTGTTATACATGCGGTAGTAGGAAGCCGACTAATTTGAGAGTGGAAATGACAAGACCAGCGGTCCGTACGCCTAAGAAGATTTGTGCTTGATGATCCATCCACCTCGCCAGGTCTTCTGGGGTATGTATTCCGGATTGTCTGGAAAAGTTTGCGATAATCTTCATGAAGCTACTGTCCTCAGCTCCGAATCGGTCTGAGGCCACCAAGTTTCGCGATCGTTACGCAAGCTCTTTTTGAATTGTTGTTTGAGGTTGACTTCACTGCTGCCTGAATCTGCAGGATTAGCTCGGCGGCTGTGAAACAATCTCTAAGAGCGAGCAGAGATACAACATCAGAAGACACCCAATGATTCCGCAGAATAATCGCTCGAAAGAAATCAACTTTGCTTAGCGAAGAGCGCATGATGCGCTCTAGTAGATGCGTGTGCGAGTGTTGATACGGATGATGAGAGAAATACACAGTACTACGTGACCGAAACTGTGCGTATTTTTTGGAGTAGATGTTGATTTGTCTAAGTTTGAGTAGGGCGAATGAGTCTGAGAATGCGTTTGGTTCTTCTTCTCTGTTTTCGATGATAATGTTTGGCGGGAATTGAAAAGAAAATCGGTTTGCCTCACATTTGTTACTTCTGTGTGGAAATGTGATCTGCATGGCCAACTTGAACATATGAAAAGATAAGTGGATAGAGGAGAATAAAAAAGCGGAATAAATTATGTCCACCACTGTAGGGCATATCGGTGTGTGTTTTGGATGCAGACACATTGCCATGGCTGATAGCTACGAGGTACTGATATAAGACAAAGCCCCCTTCGATGGGATTTGGCTGTCTAACTGATCAATGCGCACATACTTCGCAGAAGCACCCGGGGGGTATATCTAATCAAAGGAGGGAGAAGTGAGCAAAACAAAATCAACTAAAGGCATCACCATGGGCGGCTCATTGTAGTTTCTTGGGGAAAGGGGAAAAAGCGGCAGATGTGAAATACTTCTTCTATTTGGTGAATGCACCGCTATGCCTACATCTATACTGAGTATGTTCACTACTTTGTTGTTTATCATTTTACTGCAATGTAGACTGCGGGTATTCGATTGTGAAGGAACCTATACGTAAAATTGTCAGAATTTGATCCTCCGGATGAGATACTCCTACCAAACAGTGTCCAGTAAAGAATTCACCGACACCTCCATTTGTTATCTTCCTTCTAACCCCCAATTTCTTTCTTCGATGATCTTAATATTTACCGCCTAATCCGCTGAAGCTAGTAATTGTCCTTTCGTTCACTGTCGATCATATGTATATTAGTATTTCTTTGACGAAGTCGGTCAAAGCAACTGGACCCTCAGCACTTTGTTATACAGAGTACCTGAACTGGCCTGATTGACAACGCAGAATTTTTAGCGCTGAATGGTAAACATTATCTTTCTTCCTTTACACATTTTCTACTGTTTTGAGCTTTTTTGTTGTACATTGCGCTGCACAGGTGCGCTGTTTTGTATGGCCTATTTTTTATACTCCTCCGTGAGTAGTGTTCAGTAGCGTAGCCACCTTCTCTTTTGGTCACTCTTATTGTTGAAAATTTATGCACGATCTTGCTTGACGCCACCGGCTTACATTTCCACTTTCAATTTCCAAACCAATACGATCTGTTTCTTCTTTCTCAGTATCCTTACACTGAACAAGTACTTAGTAACCTGCGGAGATTACGACAACCCAGCCTCCTACTTAGTCCCCGACCTCATTAATGCTGTGGGAATTTTACCAACTTCGTTTCCTCCTCCCGGCTCGATACCCCCTACAGAGTAAGTGGATAACTGTTTCACCAATCTGGTTATCTCGCAATATCAGTTTTATTCTGTCGTACTCCCAGCTGGACACACAAGATTAGACTTAGTGTGTTTGTTCTTTACATTTCACCTTCATTCAACGCCGTGTTCTCTTCTCTGTACATCACTTCGGAATCTACTCGCTTGTTCCAGCATGCTGCCTCAACAGTTATCAGTCTTATTGACCACCGTATTCAACCCTAATTACTCCCCCCGCACCACTATCACGTCGGCTTCATTGGATGCTGCATGTAAACCTTAGCGCCATTACAGTGATCCAAGTAGTGTGAAGAACTTTTTACTAGGACAACGAGCAACCATAATGTACACAACTCTTGAACATCTACAACTCAACTGGTCTGCAAATACTTTTATTTATATTACATGACACACTCTTGCCTGTAGCCTTCATCGATTGCTACTTCCGCGTTTCTTCTCAGCAAACCTCCATCTATGGACTCTGAACCACTACTATGGAGTAGGCTGTTGATTTGGTCCATAACTGATCCGTCTCAGTCCGATTTGCCCGTTCTTCTTGGTGTCTTACGCAGTAGTGTCGGCCCTTGACACACCACAGTGTCGCTACAGGTTGGCTTCACTAACTGCCTTAGCCGGAAATGATGAGATATTTTTAACCTTTTGAACGTTTTATACTATTTTTGTGGCCATCTTGTTCACAGCCTTACCTCATTTTCTATTAGCAAAATTTACGAGGTGGTGCAGGTGACAGAAGGAGGTGGTTGCTTCAGTTGAGCGATCGCCTTTGGTTCTCGTGACACTTTTTATTCTCAGCCCTTGGCGTGATTAGAACATTAGACTTCCTAACGGGATGTTCCGAGTCGTAGCTATGTCCAGTATTTTCAACCAACCAATTACATCCTCCAGCGAAGTGCGTTGTTTGCGCGCCAAGGTGTGGGTGGTAGAAGAGGAGGGGAGGCCAAACGATGACTTAGTCGAGTCTAATGAAGACCCTCACTTCGAAGCTGGCCACGGTTGGAGCGTCTGCGCTCCGTGGTTGGGGTCCGAAAGACGATGAACACGTTTGGCTGGATACACTTACTGAAATAACTAGGAGCCGACTTCAATGTCGTTCATGCTGTGAGTTTCTTTGTCCCTCCCCTCTCCTTTAGAGTTCCCCTCCAGTTACGATCTCATACCACATGCATAATATTTTACTTGACATTATATCACACGCTTTTTGAGCTTTTGTTGTATAATTTTTAGTGTTTTATCTTTTGTATTGCTGCACATTGGTTGGGGTGTGTTGCTCACCCTCAGCTGACGTGTATTGATGATGATGATGACTTACATTCGGCGCCACATTTTTGCTGAACGGCAGGTGGGCAGCGTATCTGTACCGACAAGCATTAGAAAGCAAAGAGCAACGGGCGCTTCTGTGCCAAAACTACGTCTCACCGAATCAACTTTAATTTGACCACAAGGTCTCTGTTAGCGTCAGTTGTCGAGTGGCTGAAGCCACAATAGACCGATGCATAAGTGACCCCTTTTGCTTAGCAATACCCTTGGTTATGTCACGAGAGCTTTGACATGTGCTACACTAAGATACGGCCCAAGTGATTGACCTAGTTGGCTGCTAGCGACTACTCTTTGGTCATATACTGCAAATTTGTACTTATATCACCGTTATTTCACGAACCAGACCCCGATGGCTGGGCACCTGTTGCGTATGCCAACGCACCGACTCCCACGACGTGCTATGTTTGCGCGACCGAATTGTGGGTGGAAGATGAGGAAGGAAAGCCAACCGACGACATGGTAAAGAGGAATGAAGTCCCTCACTTCGAAGTTGGCCTGGATTGAGCCTTTTGGCTCCCTGGTTGGAGCGCGAAAGACCATGAATACGTTTGGCTAGATACACTTGTTGGCAAGGAGCCGACCTCAGTGACGTTTGTGCTGTGAGTTTCTTTGTCCCTCCCACTCCCTCATTTCTAGGCATAATATAATTCTTTTTTGCAGCACATTAGCCGGCTGCTAGCTCTCCGGAACGATGTCCATCCGTTACTGGTGGCTCAGCTGGCGCGCCTGGTTTGCGTCTCTTTATTATTATTCTCTTTTTTATTGGAGCATAATTGCTGAGATGTTCCCACCTCTAGCTAACGTGTATAATGTTGATGATGGTGAATTTACACTGATATATGTGTAGGCTGCTTGTTCTTAGTTCGTTCAGCACGCATACTGTCGCAGTACCGTCAACTTGGTATGCACATGAAGCGGCAACTTCAAAGTGGAATCTCTCGGCTCATCTCATATAATCAGTACCCATCTCGTGTGCTATCAGGAGCTCCAACGCCATATTTCCTCCTCTACCTAGATTTGCACAGTACGTGGTGGGACCTATTTTTACTTTATCTCCCTTCAAAACGCAGTGTGCCGAATCCCCTGGGGGCGTCACCTCGTCTTCTTTATTGTACACTCTCATCTCCGCACGTGGCGGTGCATTTTTTGTGATTACTGTAATCTAATGTGTTAATAGCTTTCTATTTAGCATTTCACATTGAATTGGCTATAGTTCGACCCTTGTTTTTACTGGAAAATCTTGTCACCATTTGTGCTGTTTGTCCATCTACTAACATTACCATTCGCTTCCAAGGAGGGTTAATCGATCATAAATACCGCATTGCAGGTTTTACGTTGACCATCCTGGTCTTACCTTCTGTTATCCCCAAAGCGGAGTAGGTCACTTTCAGTTATTTGGTTTTAGCGAGCTCTCTGTTCAATGGTGCGCAGTTCACCTTGGCAGACTTCGATAGACATGCACTACTGGCCTGGTGGCTGGAAACATCTGTCCTTACACCCCTCATCCTTTTGCATGCCCTTAACGTTATGCAATTTTCAGCAGGAATCTCACTTGACGGATTTGCGTTTAACTTGGTGGTTTCAGGAGCATGTCCTATACATCTGTCAAGTAGACAGATTTATCACCATTGCGTGCACATATGTTGTTTATCCCAGAGAGCGGATCGAAACTCAACGGTTAGATCACACTGGCTGACCTTTAAATTCGGAGCGGACATGGTCGTCGGGACCTTGAATATATTTACGACTTTTCATTTTGTAACTGACAGAACAATAATAGCGCTACATGACTTCCATTGCGTTATTTTTAGACTACGTTTCGTATGTTTTCCTACCAACTAACCTTATGTTGTAATGCGCAATGGTCCAGAAGCAAGAAGACCGTTCGAGCGGCTAATGAATTACGAGTAAGTGCGTTCCGGTGACGCAGTAGAGCCATACGGCGGTCTATCACACCATCGTAAGCCCAGAGAGCACGCTGCACGAGGCAACTAATGTGTGTCACGGCCAATATTGATCGCAATCATTCAAACCAAACGGAGCGCCGATAAATACATCAGCGGAGGTATCTTACTTGGCAAACTTTAGCAACTACTCATGCGTGTTTATGGAATAACAGCGAGAAGTACCACTGAGTTAAAAACATAATAAGGGAATTAGTGTAGATAAACGGTAGGCACGTGCTGGATATCCGGGAGAAATACACTACAATACTCTAGGATCAGCTCCGTAGGTTAACGTGCGTAACCTTGATTCCGGGATATTTTCTGGCTCGGTTCGAATTTTGATTTCTTACTGTCAGTCGATCAGGCGATGTTGCAAATTGATCTAGAATTCGCTACTTTTCGTACGATACATTCTTTCAGAAGCGTAGTACGCACCCATGGGGCTAACATTCCGCACGTTTCAGATACTCTATACTCAAATACCTAGTTTTTTTCTTGCGTTTTATTTTCCATCTAAATTCATTCAGTGCGGCATTCAAACCTCACTCTACCATTCTTCTGCTTCAACTTAACTAGCATGCGAATTTGTCGGCTGACCGAGGTCAAGGTAACATTCACTCTCTGTCTCAACTGAGCGACTGTCTGAGAGCCGTTCACCATCTGCCTTTCGTCTTACCACACACTACAAATGGATCCTTTGAGAAAGTTATTTACTCGTTATATAGCCCACTGAGGTGATTGAAGCCTAAAGTGAGCCTTTTTTTTCAACTTTTATCGAGCACATCACAGAACTTTTCACTATCTGGAGTAGCTTCATGGGTGCCGCAATTATGCGTGCTACTATGTCTCTTTGTAATTGCAGGAAATAGCTCTATGTGTACCCATCTACCCAATGCAGGGCCTTGCTATGAGCACGACCCTTACAGCACCAACATGCTCATACTTGTCGACATGCTGCTTGGCGACCCACGTTCTTCTGAGCCTTGTATACTGTTCCACAGATTCTCTCCTCACTCTTACTTTGAACACACCACGTGCACGCTTTATGACAAAACTTGACATTGCGCAACCGTTCGCCCGAGTGAAAGCACTTCTTTCTATGTCTAGTGGAAGTGTGTATTGATAATACCAGGAAAATATCGCTTCAGGTACATTTTTGAGAGACTCCATCAGCGTATTTACAACTCACCATATTTTATGTAGGACTTGTCTCTACGGTCAGTTTGTTCCACCTCACGGGGTACTCGTTGGGTGACACGAACAATTAACAACCTTCTCTTCCATTTGTTACCGCGCACTGTTAACGTAGCTCAGCTGTATGCCACCCTATTCAGATGTGACGCGCTCTCGAACTCAGTAATCTACAAACTGGGCGTCTAGGAATTTCTTGGATTCCGGCATCGATTTCCCCTCGACTAATGTCACATACAAACTGTTCTAATATTTCACTTCTCAACGCTCGGTGCAGATAGCATGAGCGGACCGGACAGTACACGCTTGTACCGGTGCCCACGTGTGCTATTTGATGCGTGTACATGTAACAGTGTTCGCGGCACAGGGAAGTAAATTAGTTGTAATATCCGGTGGGTCTTCGTAAGGTCGATTCCCAATGGACGATACGACAGTTTTTTACTTTCCCACTCTCCTACAACGATCTATCTGAAACATGCCTTGTAAACTGGGAATGAGCCTGATAGCTAAGCATGTTTCATT